CCCCAAAACCCCAAAACCCCAAAACCCCTTAAGGAATTTAATACTCGAATTTGTAATAATGATCTTTAAATCTATATCTTAAAGCATTTCATTTCAGCTGAATAACTGATTTCTCAATATATTGATTCTCTCAAATCTAATATTTTTATAGGGAGACTCAAAATTTTAGATGTTTTATATCATCTGATCAATAGCTAATTCTTTATGTTTTTTAAGGTTGTTATTGCCAGTTATGTATTCATCAATCAAATACACATTATCATATTTCGCTACATCTTCAATTGTAATGCCTGGATCTAATTATGTTTATGAATTAACGAAAGCATAATCATAGCTCTAAAAGAATGTATTTCCTTTCCAATCTTTTATAAATACATCATCCTTCTCCAACCTTATTGATTTATGATGAATTTTTTAATTACCGAAATCATCTACCTAGAAAGAATAATTTTGGCTAAATTCTTTATATATTGATGACATAATCGTCTAAATATTAATCTTTTCCTGCTCCATTAACTAGATAAATATCTTAAAATACTCATTGAAATGCAGATACTGCTATAAATATTCTTAGTCATTGACAAATAAAATCCTAGTTGAGTCGTTCTTCAATTTGGAGGTTTTTAATAATTGATGATATAAAAACATTGCCAAATCTGGGTAAAGCAGTGGGTTAATCATTCTAGGTGAAATAAAGTCATCCTTCATTCTATATCTATCATATCCTTTTATCTGAAATATAAGATTGTTTTCTCTTTGATATGGAGTAATAATTAGCTAATCAAATGTGTAGGCCTTGCCATTAGGGTTTTCAGTATCCCCATCCCAAAGATAAATCTTTGAGTTATCGAAGTCAGTTCTAATAATCTAATGAGAATTTATTACATTGTTCCAAGTGCTGAGTAAATTATACTCATCATCATATTTATTGAAAGAATCTTGAGGCTTTTTATCTTCCCAACTGTATCTTTTGTACAATTAATCAACACAAAATGTGATATCATAATCATTTATATTGCTTTTCTTTTTCAAGTATTTCGCTAGAGTTAGCTATTATTTAATATTAAGTAAGCAAGATTACTAAAAAATTGAAAACTTACTGCTTGTTAAGAGTGACCTATTATTAAAAGTGGTATGTGGAAGGAATTTGTATTCGGAATTTTAGGCAACTTAAATTATTCTCTATACTAGAACACTGAAAAATTTTTTCTAAGTAACTTAACTACTGCCATGATAATTTATATATTTTTAAAATCACTAAATTTCCTATATAAATTGAGAGTTGGGGTTTTGGGGTTTTGGGG